TGCCTGAAGAGCCTTTCCATCTTCTGATCTAATCAGTGCTCATGAGTGAACTTTGATCAAATAAGCAGATGCAATCACATGTCCATTCCCAAAGTGCTCATGAAGCAGAGTCTTTGCCTTTACATATCCAGCACTATCAGACATATGTTGACAGTTTTTAACAAGTTCATTGAGCTGCTCCCGCTCATCTGCGCAAGATGATGCAGGCAGTCGCCAGTATCGCCAGTCGATGCTTCAATGATCTGTTCAAACGAGTGCATAAAAGCCTGAAAATGTAAAGGATCGCCATCAAAGGTTTGAACCTCCCTTTTGGGCAGTGAAAAGAGACTTTGCTGATTGACAAACATACGTTTTAATTTATTTTGTTTTTCCATAATGGACAACGGATTTTCATTGGCTACTGGATGAGCAGCTTGTTGATTAGACAAAGATGGAATTGGTCTAAAAGTGTCAGAAGGCCCCATAAGAGCGGGTGCAGGCCTTTTCCTTTTCATATTCTGTTGCACTGTTTTTACTTGAAGCTCTGCATTCCCAGTGATTGCATTACCTTTTGTAAGCGTCTGTGGAACAAAAGTCTGTGCATCCACAATAAGGATTTCAAGCCTGTTTCCTTTCGCTTTAAAATATGATTCTATTCCATTAGATTTCTACAAAGCAACGATCCGCATTGTGGAACCAGTTCTCAGCACATTCACTTTTGCAACAGTTGCAGCTATATCTGCTTCAAGCTGAAGTTGTTCTTTCTTTCTCCACAACTGCTCCTCCTGTTCTTAAAGAGAGTGTTTTTCTTTAAGTATATGTTGCTGTGCGAGCAAAGCAGCCATTTCAGCTTCTGCCCTGAGATGTGCAGATGAAGGAGATGATACTCTTGAGCTCGACCTACTGTCTTGATTTGACACAACACGTCATCCTGAACATCATTCTGGGGATTAAGACATAATTGAGGTTCTTTTCCCAATGTGCTCTTGCACCTCCACTTCTCCCAGGGAAGTTTCCAGGCCATCATCTGACTATGCTTTGTCAGATGATGGCCTGCCTGAATGTTTTTCAGTTTCAGCAAGCTATATCTTGACATCCTCCATAAACTCTTTATTGTATTTAGCAATGCTTGAGAACCATATATTTTGTTTATCTTTCTCGTTAA